AAGTATGTCAATAGTTCTGTCTGAAATTAATCAAAATTGTTTTTTAAATAGTTATTGAGTCAGATATGGGGCGGTAACGTTTGATTTATCTGAAGGTTTTTATCTGTTACTGTGTAAATGGGTTTGGCTGTAATTTTAGGACAGATTCTAATATATCTGCAGAGTGGAGACTATAAATCTGATTTTAATTTTTTAATTGCTATTTTGCACAAAAAAGTATTTTTTGTTGTTGAATATAAGATATTTTGCAGATATATTTTTATAGATACATTGTTTAGATTTACTTGTATCTTTCTACCTCTTTTATAGAACAGGAATAGAAAATCCCTTTATTTTCCCACAATGAGGAAATTCTGGTGTTTACAGCAGCAAAAAGATTACATAACAGTGAAGAGTTAAAACATAAACAATAAAATAATGTACTGTAAAGTGTTTTAACTATAAAAACTGTGTACCTGGAGCAGGGGTCGGCAGCCCAAAATGCTCAAAGAGCCATATTGGACCGAAAAAAGCAAAGAAATCTGTCTGGAGTCGCAAAAATGTAAAAGTCTTCTATCAGCCTCGTATGGCAACACGGTATTATCCCACAATAGAAAATGACTATGTGGGCTTAAATGTATAATAAGCAATCATGATTAAATGTTTATCCTGGAGCAAATGTCACATAGCAGCATGAGGTGAGGGAGGAGCAGTGAACACTCACCGCGCACCGCTTCACCGCGCGGTTTAGGTTTTGTTGCATTGATGAAATTATAGAAACACAATAAAGGAATCTTTTTTATGGTGGATGTTTTTCTGTTGGGAGGAGATGATTTAGTCATGAGGAAGCAAGCAGGAACCAACATCCATCAGAGCAGTTCTCTCTAACCCTGAAATCCTGCATCCTCCGTCACCAGCGTTCCTTGGTGTGATTTATATTTTTAGGATCTGGTGAAAAAATGGAAGAAAGTTCCCATCCCTGCATCAGAGCGCTGTCTGTTTGATCTGTGGACAGTTTTCCATCCTTGCACCCAAGCTAGCAGCAGGAGTGGAGTTTGGAGATGCAATCCACTTCTTAAATCTATCTTTGAGCTTTTTCTACTTTATCCAAAAGTTCTGCAATCACACTTTTTCTCCCCCTCCAAACTTGGCGGTCGGCTCCATATTTAGCCTTCCCTGGAAATACCTTTTTCTAAATTTTTCTTTTTAGTTTTTGACAACCTCTCATTTCCAAGCAAAAATGCAGGCAATCCTTCTGCATCGATAATCAAAGCAAATGATTCGGTCCATTCTTTGAATCCGCTTTTCTTATCAGCTATCTTCCTTTTTTCCCTTTGGGATCCATGGTCCCAGACACACCTGCAGCTGTGTTTGCCCAGCACCACGATACAATGGGTACAAGTTGTGACCACTGATCTCTACAGCCATGACGCAAATGATTGTTCAAATTTATTTATTATACAAATGTTTACAGCATTGGAAAACATAACCTCCTGCACACCATATTAAAACAAACAAACAAAAAAAAAAAAATCGATTTTCA